AGATGGCCCCAGCGTTATGAGTGTGCACGTGGTGGTTTTGTCCTAGTGCTGGGAGCCTGCTAATTGGTGTGATACAGAGAGATTGCTGACACGTTGGCTTGTTCTGGCTGCAGGGAGGCCTGGATTCCTCTGTTTACTCTTATACTCCTGAAAACCACGGAGCCCAGAGACCAGAACTAAAATATGAAAGTGCACATTTCTGTCTGCCTCCACTTAACCCGCCAGCACCAAATTAGCTTTCACTTTCAAAGAGTCAAAGTATTCACAAAATAATGGTACCCTTAATGGGCGCTTTTCTGTCAAAATAGCTTGGAAACAGCAGGATTTCAAAGGATGGAAAGGTGATTATGTAACACCGTGCAAGTGCTTTCAAAGATGACTGTTCTCCCACATAAGGCATTGTCTAGCAATAACAATATATGAAATGAACTCATATTGAGAAGCGGCGGAGCTGCAAACATATGCACAACATACAGATATGGAAAGGTTGTTTTCAATTGCACGATACACCTCAAAAATATATAACATAAACACAAGACGTGAGAAAGTTTCTGATCACGCAAGTCCTTACGGCGCAGGGAGCTTTATTTACTGGGCTGTATTTATGAGGTAAGGTTACTGTCAATAAAGACATGCATGTCTAAAAAAAAATGCGTGCATATTTATCGGTATTTGTGCATAAAAATATTTAATTAATTCATGATTAAGATACTACAAACTCAAAAGACATTGAATTAAGAATAAAAAACTATAAAACTCCCCCTGGACTGCCACCTTAACGTGGTGGGGGAGTTTGAGTACTCGGGTGATCCTGGGAGCTATGCTGTCTGGGGCTTCATGCCCCTGGTAGGGTCTAGCATGGCAGACAGGTCTCGGGTGACGAGTCAGACTAAGAGCAGTCAGAAGCCAACATGGACAGCACGAACAGAAGAACCGTGACGTCGCCCGGCATGGCGCAGCCGGGGCCCCACCCTAGAGCCAGGCCTGGGGTCGGGGCTCGAATGCGAGCGCCTGGTGGCCGGGCCTTAGCCCAGCCCGAATGGACGACGTGGGCAGTCCCTCCTGTGGGCCCACCACCTGCAGAGGGGTCCGTGGTGGCGCGGTGCAGAGAGGACTGGGCAGCAGTCGAAGGCGGAGACCTCGGCGACCCAGTCCACACACCCAACATCTGGCTCTTGGGACGTGGAACGTCACCTCACTGGGGGCGAAGGAGCCCGAGCTCGTGGGGAAGGTCAAGCGATACCGACTAGAGATAGTCGGCCTCACCTCCACACACAGCTTGGGCTCTGGAACCCAACTCCTTGAGAGGGGTTGGACGCTCGACTTTTCTGGTGTTTTTCGCGGGGAGAGGCGGCGAGCTGGGGTGGCCATTCTCATTGCCCCCCATCTCAGCCGCCACGTGTTGGAGTTCTCCCCGGTGAATGAGAGGGTCGCGTACCTCCGCCTTTGGGTGGGGGACAAGTCTCTCACTGTTGTGACGGCCTACGGGCCTAACAGCAGTGCAGAGTACCCGGCCTTCTTGGAGTCCTTGGGAGGGGTACTGGACTCCGTTATTCTCCTGGGGGACTTCAACGCCCATGTGGGAAATGCCAGTGACACTTGGAGAGGGGTGATTGGGAAGTTGTTGGACTTCTGTGCCAGTCACGGTTTGTCCATCACGAACACCATGTTCGAGCACAAGGGTGTCCACCAGTGCACGTGGCACCAGGACACCCTAGGCCGGAGGTCGATGATCGACTTTGTTGTCGTATCATCTGACCTTCGACCGCGTGTCTCGGACACTCGGGTGAAGAGAGGGGCGGAGCTGTCAACCGATCATCACCTGGTCGTGAGTTGGATCCGCTGGCAGGGGAGGAAGCCGGTCAGACCTGGCCGGCCCAAGCGTATAGTGAGGGTTTGCTGGGAACGTCTCGCTGAGCCCCCTGTTAGACGGACTTTCAACTCACACCTCCGGGAGAGCTTCTCCCAGGTCCCGGCGGAGGAGGGGGACATTGAGTCCGAGTGGACCATGTTCTCTTCCTCTATCGCCGATGCGGCGGCTCGTAGCTGTGGTCGCAGGGTCTATGGTGCTGGTTCCGGCGGCAATCCCCGAACCCGGTGGTGGACACCGGCAGTAAGGGATGCCGTCAGGCTGAAGAAGGAGTCCTATCGAGCAATGATGGTTCATGGGACTCCTGAGGAAGCTGTCCAGTATCTGCAGGCCAAGCGCGCCGCGGCCCGGGCCGTTGCAGAGGCAAAAACCCGGGACTGGGAGGAGTTCGGAGAGTCCATGGAGCATGACTATCGGTCGGCCTCGAAGAGATTCTGGCAAATCGTCTGGCGCCTTTGGAGGGGGAAGCAGTTCTTTGCCAACACTGTGTACGGTGCGGGTGGAGGGCTGCTGACCTCAACTGGGGATATTATCGGGCGGTGGAAGGAATACTTCGAGGTTCTCCTCAATCCCCCCGTCACGTCCTCCGCCATGGAGGCAGAGGCTGAGGATGTTGGGGCGGATACTTCCATCTCCCTGGCAGAGGTCACCAAGGTGTTGACAGCCTCCATGGTGGCAAGGCGCCGGGAGTGGATGAGATTCGTCCTGACTATCTAAAGTCTCTAGATGTTGTAGGTCTTGGCTGACACGTCTCTGCAACATCGCGTGGCGATCGGGGGCGGTGCCAATGGAGTGGCAGACCGGGGTGGTGGTCCCTCTCTACAAGAAGGGGGACCGGAGGGTGTGTTCCAATTATCGTAGGATCCAAGCCCCGGCGATCCAAGATGGCGCCCTATTCAAATGAATGGTTGTGCTCAGTGGCGCTTTGTGACGGCATGGGGGCTGAAAGATTAGCGGAAGTCGCCTGGAACTCGCAAAGATCTATGGGAAACTCGCCTGTATTTGGGCATCGTCTGGTCCTCCCGGTTCTGCGCAGTGGATGATCTCCCATAATGCGTTGCGCCAAACACGCGTGTGTGGGTCTCACACCGGGTCTCACGCACGTGCACAGAGGGGCTCGGCCGCGCTCTGACCAATCAGAGCAGTTCATCAGAGCTGTTTTAATATGCATTGAGTTCTATGGGGAAAATTTCTGGGTAGCCCACGTGAATTTAGTCTGGTCTAGGCTGCAGTACCGCGAGAATCCCCCGAGCACATGGGTTATTCAGCTACAAGCTAGTAATACCCTATCCAGTTAATATAATAGACCCATGGTGGGATCACACTCCTCAGCCTCCCTGGCAAGGTTTACTCCAAGGTACTGGAGAGGAGGCTACGGCCGATGGTCAAATCTCGGATTCAGGAGGAGCAGTGTGGTTTTCGTCCCGGTTCTGTTCACTGTATTCATGGACAGAATTTCTAGGGGCAGCCAGGGGTCGGAGGGGGTCCGGTTCGGGGACCACAGGATTTTATCTCTGCTGTTTGCGGATGATGTCGTCCTGTTGGCTCCAACGAACCAGGACCTACAACATGCACTGGAGCGGTTTGCAGCCGAGTGTGAAGCGGCTGGGATGAGAATCAGCACCTCCAAATCCGAGGCCATGGTGCTCGACCGGAAAAAGGTGCCTTGCCCTCTTCAGGTGGGTGGGGAGGTCCTTCCTCAAGTGGAGGAGTTCAAGTATCTCGGGGTCTTGTTCACGAGTGAGGGAAGGATGGAGCGTGAGATTGACAGGCGGATCGGTGCAGCGTGCGCAGTGATGCGGTCGCTGTATCGGACCGTTGTGGTGAAGAGGGAGCTGAGCCGAAAGGCAAAGCTCTCGATTTACCGGTCAATCTTTGTTCCCTCCCTCACCTATGGTCATGAGCTGTGGGTAATGACCGAAAGAACGAGATCGCGGATACAAGCGGTCGAAATGAGCTTCCTCCGCAGAGTGGCTGGGCGCTCCCTTAGAGATAGGGTGAGGAGCTCAGTCACACGGGAGGAGCTCGGAGTAGAGTCGCTGCTTCTTCACGTTGAGAGGAACCAGTTGAGGTGGCTCGGGCATCTGTTCCGGATGCCTTCTGGACGCCTCCCTGGGGAGGTGTTCCGGGCACGTCCCACCGGGAGGAGGCCCCGGGGAAGACCCAGGACACGCTGGAGGGACTATGTCTCTCAGCTGGCCTGGGAGCGCCTTGGGGTCCCCCCGGACGAGCTGGAGGAAGTGTGTGTGGATAGGGAAGTCTGGGCGTCTCTGCTTAGACTGCTGCCCCCGCGACCCGGCAACGGATGAAGCGGAAGAAGATGGATGGATGGATGGAAACTATAAAACTGTATGTGTTATTTTGTAGTCAGCAAACTGTCAATAATACGTCACTGCTCTCAGGCCGGGGCCACACCGCCTGCGTGCGAAGCGCTGCGTAGCTGGCAACCGTTGATTTTTTACTTAGCTCTAATTGAAGCGGATTGGAAGTGGCCACACTGTCCGCGCATACCACGCGCGAGGCACAGCGCGCTAGTGGCGCCACGCGTTGAGAAGATAGAATCAATCCTATTTTTGGGGGCGTGCGTCAAGCGCTCGTCTAGTGTCCCGAAGGAAAGACTTCTAAAATTGATGAAATATTATAATTCTGACATATACATGGGCATATAACTTTGTTCGTAGTCTAAACTAAACAGCTAGCAGGAGAATGACATTTTAGACAATATCAATAAAACTTCATTGATATAAATATTTGTATTAATTTATTTATAAAACGCTTTTCATAGGCTACAACATAACATTCAAAGTGCTTTACAGATTAAAAATGCATTTAAAAAAAGAACATTCATTTACACCCCCAACTCCCACCCCCCACAATATATTGTCTATGGCCTATATTTAATAGTGAGTAAACGTCTTTTCAATATTGTTTGTGAATTTATTCTTTTGGGAAATAGGGAACATTGAAAATGTTCGCTACTTGCACATAAACAGTTTCTATAACATTTATGAAATATAAAGTGTTAGTTTATTATCAGGGATTCACTTCGACCTGTGCGTGACCCCGTCGTTAGAGGTAGTGACGTAACTAACCTGTTCAGAGAAGAAAGACGAGAAGATGGAAGAGCAACTTATCGAGGCTGTAGAGCGATGCCCCGAGCTATACAGTCCTCAAAACCGATACTACAAGGACCAAAGAAGAAAAGAAAGGGCTTGGGATGACGTGGCCTCAACGATTGGAGCGGACAGTAAGTATTTTGTGTACAGCAACCACACATCGTGAATATAGAAGCAGCATCCCGTAGGGAAATGGCCGACACAAAACGATGAAACAATGATAGGCATAGCCGTTCAATATAAAGCATATTACAATAATAAAAGGGCTTGACATTAACACCAGCCAATTAGTCAAGCATTGTTTGATTTCTGTTTTTCAAACTTTTCAGCATTACAATTAGTCTATGTGGCTAATAAACTAAATCAGTGAAAAGAATATTACTTGTACCTCACATACTTTCATGTGATAAGCAAGCTGAACCTACATAGCAATAGACCAGGGGTTTTCAATTTATTTACACTAAATACCACATAACAATTTGTCCTTCCAAGTTCCTTCAGGAGTAGATTTAATGGTGAGGGTACAGTTGAGGGTCACAGTTTGAGAACCACAGTAATGAAAAAATGTGTACTGCAAAGATTGTACAGCAGCATAACTACGTAATAAATTATTTCTAGAAAGTTATCATGCATTATATATGTTATTTCAAAGAATGTGGCATGGAAATGTTTTGGATTTTTATTTATTGCAATATATCAATATAAAAAAATTGAAAAGAAAGATGACAATTCAACCACAATTTACATTTAACAAGGCCATGCTATGCCTAAAGTCTGCCGTCCTCAGACATGAAAAAGGAGGCTAACTTCCTACGTGCCTCCAAAGCAGCCCTGCTAGCACGATTAGGCACCTCTTCTTCATATGGCTCCATAACGTGTCCTGATTCTGATGCTTCGGTCAACCACCTCTCACAATCTGCTTGGCTGTGTAGAAAATTATGCAGAATGCAGCATGCAATGACAACATAGTCTACGTTCTTTGGATCTAAGTTGATGTGGGTGAGCAGTACCCTCCACCTGGCTGAAAGAATGCCAAAGCTGCACTCTATAACCATCCTTGCCCTTGAATGTCTGTAGTTGTATGTGTCCTGCTCCACAGAGAGACCTACACCAGGGAAAGGCCGCATAAGATAAGTCTTGAGAGGGAAAGCAGCGTCACCAATAAAAACGTGAGGCATTGGCCCAAGATAGCCAGAGCCAGGCAATGGTGCATCTAGTGGCACATGTAGAGTCCTTCTCTCTAGCAGCTTCTTAAGTGTAGAGTTCTTGAATACACCTCCATCACTTGTGCGCCCGTAGTCTCCCACTTGTGCATATATTAGTCTGTAGTTAGCATCTGCTACTGCCAGCAGAACCACTGAAAAGTGTCCCTTGTAATCGAAGTACATGCTGCCAGAGTTAGCCGGAGCCCATATGTGTTCACGTGCTTCCCATCAACAGCACCCAAACAGTTGGGAAATCCCCAGCGATCCCAGAATGCTTGTGCGGTTGCAGTCCACATTGCCTCAGTCAATGGTGGAAACTGTGTAGACATCATAGTCTTCTCGATGGCCCGTAATGTGGAGTGCACAATATTAGCTGTAGTAGATCTCCCTAAACGATATTGGAAGGCTAAGCTCCTGAATGATTCCCCACTTGCTAAGAACCTAAAAGAAAAGAAAGTACTTAAATTATTATAATACACATAGGTTATTATTACAATGTTACAAAATTTAAAATGCTTTATATTGGTATTACATACATATTAATATGACATTTTTCTTCACAGAGGATTGGTGCAAAAGTAAATGGAAGGCGCTGAGAGACAAATTTGTCCGAATGAAAACCCAGGTTAATCCAAGTGGCTCTGAGGCTAATCCAGACAGAGACTACAACTTTCGAGAACAAATGGGATTCTTACTTCCTCATCTTAAAAAAAGAGAGTAAGTGAATATTTTATAAACATGAGTAATGCTTACTTTTTATCCTCTTTTGTATAAAAATAACACTATTCTTTCTATTTCAGGTCACGAGATACAGTATCTGAGGCTATGGACTCCGTGGATGAAGATACAGAGGAAGATAATGCCACCAATGCTAAAGTTAGCAGGGCCTCAACTCCACAGAGCCAGATTGATACACCAGGAAGTACCCCCCCCTCCAGCCCATCCAGATTTCGCACAGTTACTACTCTTGGTGATACCCAAACAAGATCTGTGACCCCACCAATTACCCAACTTCCATCAAAAGTTATGACACCTCCTATACACCGACGCATTCAAGCCCCCACATCATCCCAAACCAAGCGATCTGCCCCAAGCCAAAGTAAAAACCAAAAATACAAGTCTACTACTACTGTACCTACTGACAAGGAACTAATTGACATTATACAAGCACGTCCCGAAGAAGCCACCACTGCTACAACCTATAGCACTCCACCTATGCCTGACGAACAACAGGCGACATACCATTACTTAATTAGCTTGCTACCAAGGTTGATGTCCCTTTCTTTTAGAAGCCGTACAATGGCACAAGCGAGATTCCATAGCGTGCTATTTGAATTAGAGGAGAGTGAGAGATCTGAAAGAAATGTCATGCCACCAAATCGACCACCTTCTGCATACTATCCGTACAGAGCTGGAACACAGTGTTTCCAGCCAGAAGGTAATCGGCCAACCACATCTACCATAACCCAGCACCAAAACCGTGGTTATTTGGATGAGTTTATTGATCACTCTACCACTTCAGATTTTGAAACATTGTAAAATGTATGTTTAAATTGTGTAAATAGTTTTGTTTTTTACTATGGTACTGGTTACTGTGGTATGAATAACAAGTAATTGTAATTATTATGTGTAAACTAAAAGCTTTTACAGTTCTCATTTAAGTTATGTTGTACACAACAATCTTTATATAATATTTGTTAACATTATAATGGTTTACTTTAAATAACTTTTGATATTACCATATTACGTTATGGTTTGAGTGTTTTTATTTTTGACACTTTTTTGAACTTATGTTAATGGTAGAAATCATAAGCGAAGATGTTAATCTGGTTGATATTGCAATAAACCATACAAAAGTACAGATACATTTTTTTTTTTACCTGATAGTCACGGCGAGCCTCTGCTTGGCATCAATGCTGTCTCTGTAATTGGTGTCACACATTTGTATTTCAGGTCCAACAATGGACAGGAGCTCCTCCATCTTCGCAACAGACATTCGAAAATAAGAGTGGTATCTGTCAGGAAACAGTTGCAGCTCTGCCACAAGGTGGTAAAATGCCCCATGTGATGCTCTTCTCTGATTCAGTGGATGCACCCACCAAGAGCGTGTTATTCGTCTTTGTCTTCTTCTTGATAAAAGGAGAGCAGCTGCAATTCTTCTGCGGTTAATAGCTGGAGCTAGGACCAAAATAATTGTAAATAAATTAATGAATAATGTAAAAAATGTAAAAATTGATAGAGCAACAACATATTGCCAATTCAGATTAACCACATTTTAACATACAAACATGTTTAGGCCTACACTTACCCATTTCTTTGATCACAAGAGGTCTTGTCAGCACCAAGAAATCAAGTCCACACAGCACTGGTAACTGAACAAGGAGTGAAAATGTTTTACCTGTACTCACTCCTTAGCTTCTTTGTTTCAACAGACTACTTCCTATTGGTTAATCAAGTTCCACACAGAGATACAGCCTACTACTTAACAAAGGACCAAAAGACTCAACATCCCCCAAAGCAACTTCGGTGTGAACATATGCAAATTTGTGTAGGGAAGGATTGTGAGGTCCTAACGCAACAGATTCAGGGTTACTTGGAACATTATGAATACATACAAGGCCAAGACATTCATATCCAGCATTAGGACACTGCACACCTTTTGAGACTTTTTACACAGTCTAATGTTGATAGTACGCATGGTCAATGTTGCATCTGTACAAAAGGTGGATTTCCATGACAACAGTAAACAACTTTCCCGAACTGTGTTGTAATTACATTTAGTTAATAAATCACCGTTCAATAGTCACTCAAACAATGTTAATACAGGACGAAAGCGAGCGTTGTGATATTATATAAATTAGATATGCCATATTTCATAAATGTGCATTGATTTGAAAGGAAGCCTGTTCTCCTTTGTGGGGCGGTACAACGCTGCTGCTGCTGCTGCTGGTGTGGCCACTCTTGCGTCATCGCCCCACTCTGTTGACGAACGCAAGCAACGCGTTACTTCGCACGCCGGCGGTGTGGCCCCTACGTCAGACATTAACAATTGAGCCTGAGCAGAGTTGATCAACTTCATTGCCGCAAAACTAAACATGGCAGAGCTACTTGTGTCTCCCAAACACCGCAGACCATTTAAACGCCCCACTCTTCACAATTCTTTTCTTTTATTCTTTTCACAGGTGATTGTCAGAGGGTTTAGAGCGCAGAAAGTGGCTGGGACATTCTCCAGTGTTCTCTCTGCCTCTGAATGAGTCACCGCGTGTCTCCGGCGTACTACAGGCCAGATCATATCCCACACCGCGCCGCCGCAGATCTCATTACAATGACTTAAATGCATGTCGCCTTCGTTCCATACCTCCGTCTGTCTCCGTTCACCTCCTGCTTCTTGACTCAACCCCTTCTTGCTCTTATCATGTCTCTCTCACCACGGGCCTATTATAGAGACCTGTGCCCATATATTTTCCCATCAGGCTGGCTTTTCTCCCCACACACCAGAGAGTATGTGAATATAACGAGATTGCTGCTGCGTGTCAAACTAAATAGACATTTTTGGTCACACGCGTTTAATGAAATAGTCTCCATCTGATTGGCTGATCGTTTCAACTCAGTGTGTGTCTATGTTCAGCCGCTCTAAAAGCCTGTATTACTGAACTGCTTTCATTTAGGAGTTATATAGAGTATGATACCAGGGTGCGGAGATCTGGGTAAAAAAAATGACATACTTTACTTTACCGCATATTCACCAATCTCCATCTTCAATTACATTTTTTTTTAAAGCAAAACCAAATAAACAGCATGACAAAAACAATATTTTTCATCAACAGATATATTTGACAGTGCAATCACAGTGAAAGACATTGACGCATGAGGTTTTGTTCATCATAATTAGTTTGGGAATCTCTCACTGTTCTGTCTCACGTACTTCTTTTATTACTGACAAATGTAAGTAAGTAAGTAAGCTTTATTTATATACCGCCTTTCACAGACCAGAGTCACAAAGCGGTTTACAATTGTTATTTTTTGGGCACTTGTCCTCTCACTCCACACAGAGATGGGAGTGGGGTCGCCGAACAGGAGGCGCATGCCAGACCTATTGTACTTATTTTTAGTGGTAGGGGAAACCGGAGTACCCGGAGGAAACCTACGCAGACACGGGGAGAACATGCAAACTCCACTCAGAAAGGCCCTGGTCCGGCCGGGATTCGAACCCAGGACCTTCTTGCTGAGAGGCGAGAGTGCTATCCACTCAGCCACCGTGCCGCCCAAATGCTTTTGATGCAGATGCCAAAAATCAGGACACGTTAAAGTGACACTGTTTGTCTATGGATCGTTAGGAGTTACAAATATGTAACTTCTGTGATATAATATTGCATCAATAAGGTTTCTAAGGTTGGGCTGCACTGAGTTCAAATCCCGGGCGGAACAGGGTCTTTCTGAGGGGAGTTTGCATGGTCTCCTCATGTCTGTGTAGGTTTCCTCTGGGTGCTCCGGTTTCCCCTGCCATAGGTCTGACATGCGCATCCTGTCGGTGACCTCGCTCCTGTCTCTGTGTGGAGTGGGAGACAAACGCTCACAACAATTGTAAAGCACTCTGTGACTCTGGTCTGTAATAAGCGCTATATAAATAAAGATGACTTTCTTTCTAACTACTTGTTTAATTGCACATAATTTACAGCTGACAAAGTAGAGCTGCCCAGAGGATAGCAACATAAAGTAACAGGCCCATCCATCCATCCATTTTCTACCCTTTAATCCATTTCTGGGTCAGGGGGGTGGCAGTCAGAGATGCCACCCAAGTCTCATAGCACCAGCCCCTCACTGACCCTCTGCAGGTGGTGAGTCCACAGGAGGACGGCAGTGTGAGCATAGCCTTGATCTTTCAGTGGGGGCTTTGGGCAAAGTGGGGTTAAGTGTCTTGCCCAAGGACACGACGACAGCAGTCATCAGTGGGAGTCGGTGGAGAAGGTGCAGAGGTGGGAATTGAACCCACGACCTTCTGGGCTTAAGGACAATGCCCTACCAACTGAGCTACTGTCGCTACTGTATAAGTTCAATGAACTTATACTCTATAATTATTGTTTCCATACTCACTCGTGTGTGTTGGTGTGTGTCCCGTCATTTTGTTAAAATAAGTTCCAATTAGTGCCAGTGGTTCAGTAGAACAGGCCTCTGCTGCTGCGCTCCTGTTGGTCCCACTGAGAAAAACCAAACCCATCAATCCCTCTCTGCACCGAGTCCATTTGGAAATGTCTCCTCTTGTCTTTCCTCATTTCAATCAATTTCCCCCATGTTCAGGAAGTGAAGGCTCTCACTCTTTTATCACATCTATCAAAGCTATTAAAGCCCACTGCTGTTATCCATTGAAATATAAATAAAAGAAAAAAAAAAAATATATATATATATATATATATATATATATCTATATATATGTCACACTAATACATGTCACACTAATAATCTAATAGTCATGAAGGTTTAGAACCCACTGTTGGCCCCTGGAAGTGCATGGTCTGAGATATGTTATGGAACTTGTTTGTATAGATGGGCAGCTACAGCCATCTATGGCAGAGTCAAACCCAGAAGCTTCTTTGCTGCTCTGAGCTCTGTCCCCAAAATCCACAATAAGTTCCCGAGCGATGGTATCATGGGGAAATAAAGTGTGCGCTTCTCACTGACAGAACCTGCTGTTGTTAACACTTGCTTGTCAACAGCACTTCTATTCCTCCTGATGCAGAATTGTCTGTCATTGGCTAAAAGTGGTAAAGTTTTCCGTGATTGTACTACAGTATGACAAGTTAAAAAACACTTGTGAATGAAGGCTCCCCGTACAGTGAGCCGGGGTCTGATGTGTGTCCCGCTGCGCCGCTGTCACTGGCTTTGTTTCAGCTGTCAGCGCTCACAGGGACCAGAGGAAGCAGCGATGGAGACACGAGAAAGTGAGTGCAGTGTGTCCGGGCTAAAGATATCTCTGCGTCATCTCCTCCCCCGATGTCACTGTCCACCCTTCGCCTTTGTCTCACTTTGGAGGATCGCAGGAAAGAGACTGGATGGACTCTTGTTGGACGTGAGGTTGCAAATACAAGAAGTGCAACATGTTCATGATATAGTATGTATGTATGTATGTATGTGTATGTATGTATGTACAGGTATATACAGGTATGTACACTACCGTTCAAAAGTTTGGGGTCACATTGAAACGTCCTTATTTTTGAAGAAAAAGCTGTTGATAACTTTAAACTAGTCTTAACTGTAAAGCAATACACTCTATACGTTGCTTATGTGGTAAAGGACTATTTGGTGCAATGTTGTAATTGCTGCAAATGGAGGATTCTTTGACAAAAGCAAAGTTGGATGTAAAACAAATCTTATTTCAAATACAAATCATTATTTCTAACCTTGTCAATGTCTTGACTCTGTTTTCTATTCATTTCACAACATATGGTGGTGAATAAGTGTGACTTTTCATGGAAAACACTTGACCCCAAACTTTTGAACGGTAGTATATGTATGTTTGTTTGTATGTGTATATGTATGTATGTGTGTGTATGTATTGTATGTACAGTATGTATCTCTGTGTGTATGTATATATGTATGTATGTACTGTATGTGTGAGTATGTATGTATCTATGTATGAATGTATGTATATATGTGTGTGTGTGTGTGTGTATGTATGTGTATTGTATGTATGTATGTGTGTGTATGTATGTACCATGTAAAATGGAGGTTTTATCCGGTCGTCATCGCTCTCAAGGCCCAATTCAATTTCAATGACAGAAATGATATTTGGGCAAACTTATTATATGGGGTAGTTATATACGATCCTGACTTTTTTTGAGAGAGAGACCTTCACAGGCAATACATTCTGGGATAGTGCACATTTGCAACATTGTCCCGCTGTGATGAAAAGAGCTGACCCAGGGAAAAACCCGGAGGAGATATAATTTACTAATTGGCCTGTACTGTATCTACATATCTTCATCTTTAATTTTATGCAGTTTTTGTTTCACATTATTAGAGTTTGGTCGTGAAACTGACTTGAAATCGATGCCTCGATAATCTGTCTCGGTGAAACCATGGGAACAGACATTTTGGAAGTGAGATAGTGCTGCCCCCTGGTGAGCAGGTGGAAAACTTCTGTTACTGTTACTTCTGAGTAAAAAGGGTCAAAGATATCAATGCAGAGTTGTTAGCAGGGCTGGACTGGCCATCGGGCGTACCGGGCAATGCCCGAAGGGCCGATGCCCATATTTGGGCCGGTCTGTCTGCCACATACAAAAAACATGTTTGTGAAAAGTGTAAATCCGTTGAG